CCAGTCCTGGGCTCCCCCCCACACAGCCCTGTCAGTGCCCCTCAGACCCGACTCTCAGCCCCCTGCTAGCTCAGCCCTGGGCTCCCCTCCTCTCAGCTCTGTCGGTGCCCCTCAGACCCAACCTGCAGCTCCTGCTAGCCCAGCCCTGGGCTCCCGCCCACAGCCGTACTGGTGCCCCAAAGTCCCGACCTGCAGCCGCTGCTGTCCCAGCCGTGTCCCACACAGCTCCTTACCTTCATACTTATTGAGGATGGAGGAGCAGTGGTCCAGCACCTCGTAGTATTCGTGGCACAGCAGCTTGCACTGGCAGTAGTTCAGCAGCAAGGGGGTGATCTTCTGGTCCAGCTGGATCCAGTCTGGGGAGCCCGGCTGCTCCTGCAAGGGGGGAGGGGAATGAGGAGCAGGCACAGGGGGGAGGGGAGAAGAGAGGGGAGACCTGGGGCTGGATCCTGGCAAATCAGTGGGCTTGGTGCTGCCACTAAGGCAGAGGCGCCTGCGGTTGGGGATTGTGGAAATATTGTCATGCACCATGTGCATGACTCAGTTTCCCCACCCACTCCGCAATGGGGGTGAAAGGGTTAATTCCTCCTCTAGGACAGGGGTGGCTGGGAGTCACATGACCAGCGGTAGGCCTCAGCCAGAGCCCCTCCACTACCAACTGCAGAGCCAAGGGCCGGCCCAGAGAGGGGACAGACCCAGCAGGAGGCCGGGCTAGGAACCAGGCTCCGAGACATGAGGCAGCGAGCATCCGACAGACACCAGGAGGGCCCTTGACATAGGGGCTGCAGTTTCTGCCCATCTGGATGTGACGTAGGCCTGGCTGCCCCAAGGCATGACCGGGCGGCCCCGGCCGCAGGTGCGCCCTGGGGCGTCGCTCCCTGGAGGCAGAGCAGGCTGATCTCAGCAGGACTCGCTGCCGGAGCTCATGGGGAAACGGGACTGGAGCCGAAAGCCCCATCCCTGAGCTGCGGAGGGCTCGGTGCTAACGGGGGCTCTCCCAGGAGAGCGTGTGGAAGGAGGCATGCCAGGCCCCTCGGGGGCAGGTGGGTGGGAGTGGCCTGGAGCAGCCGCTGAGCCAGCTCCCCGCACCCCTCGTGGTCAGGGTCAGCATCTGGAGATGTGGTGCCCGGTTGGGGCATCGCTCACCTTCATCTGCAGGTTCTTCAGGCAGGCGATGGCATCGTAGTACTTGGCGGCTGCCTCGGTAACCTTGCCCTGGCGATAGAGCTCGTTGCCCTCCTCGTGGATCAGCGGAACAGCCTGCATCTTCTCCTCGTCCGTCATGGCCCACGGGTCCTGCCGGTACGAGCCGGGCGCCTCCACCTGCAATATTGTGTCAGTGGAGGAGAGCCTGGTCCTGCCCCAGCCCTGGGGTACCGCGCCCATCCAGAGAGAGCCTGGCCCCGCCCCAGCCCCGGGGTACCACGTCCACCCAAAGAGAGCCCGCCCCAGCCCCAGGATACCACGCCCATCCAGAGAGAGCCTGGCCCCGCTCCAGCCTCGGGGTACCACGCCCATCCAGAGAGAGCCCAGCCCCGCCCCAGCCCTGGGGTACCACGCCCATCCAGAGAGAGCCCGCCCCAGCCCTGGGGTACCACGCCCATCCAGAGAGAGCCCAGACCCCGGGGTACCATGCCCATCCAGAGAGAGCCCAGACTCCATGTACTACGCCCATCCAGAGAAAGCCCAGGCACCTCGTCCATCACCCCACCTCCATCCCTTGGACCCATCCCCAGGCACCACACCTGGCAAGGGAAGAGCTCCAGCCCAGTCCAGCCCCTGGCACCACTCCCCAATTCTACTACCCCCTCCCCACAGCGTCCCCACCCCTCAGGGACCCCGTTTCCAGCTGGGGTCCCCCACCCCTCAGAGCCGCCCCATCCCCAGGTCAGGGTCCCCAGGCCCTCGTCACCTTCAGCATGTCGATGGCAAAGATCAGGGGCTGGGGGTTCTGCTGCAGGTCATCCAGGTCGGGGTAGCCCAGAGAGTGGTGCTCATGCATCTGGGCGATGCCACAGCAGTGCCGCTGTCCCTCCAGGGGGTCCTTCCCCGCCGCGATGTTCCGCAGGCTCTTCGCCACCAGCGGGTACAGCACCACGTGCTGGGAGGACAGGGCGTCAGCGGGGGAAAGGGGGGTCACACAGGAACCTGGGGCGCAGGCTGAATGCAGGAATTGGTGGTACTGACCCTGGGCACCGGCCCACTCTGCGTGGCCTCCTGGGGGGGAGGGATCATTCTCTTCCCTGGGGTCGGGAGCTTAGGGCCGGGGTTCATCACTGTGCCAGCTGGGTTGGAACCAGACCCATTAATAACGATGGGCTGGAATCAACACCCACAAACGGAGGCGACCCAGCAGAGACACGGGAGCCCAGTAACTCCTAACCACCAGCCCAGGAAGGCGCCTGGCTGGGGCTGGGCACAGATGGGAGGAGCTGGGGCTGCGGGGAGGCATGCCTGGTCTGCATTGCAAGGCTCTGCCAGCTACGAGAGCAAGAGCTGCGCTGGCAGAACCCCCGGCGCAGACATGAGAGCCGCTGCCTGCAGAGCATGTGGTGTTTGGGGAGGTTGGGTCGCTGTGGTGGCAGATCTTCCCCTGCTGCCTTTCATCTGGCCAACACGGTTAGACTGGTGCTCTACAGTACAGAGCCCTGGCCGGTCCAGCTAGAATCGCTGCATGCTCGGCTCCCCCCAGGGCTAAAAGCCTCCAACAGATCTCGGCTGTACTAGCTCCTGGTGTGTCTGAAGGCCGAGAACCCTCGAGGCCGTATGGCCTGCCCTTGTGGATGGCTCTGCTCAGAGCCTGGCGAAATCAAAGGCTGCTCCCCAGAGAGACTGTCTCAAGGCTGGGGTTACAGCACAGACAACAGAAATTCCTCATGGGGGGGCCCTGGTGTCACACAGGAACTTGGCCTGTATCCCACCCCCCAGGAACAGTGCTCAGAGAGGGGATGCAGGGAGCTGTGGGGCCGGCAGGAGTAAGAGGATACCTTGGTGTCACACAGGAACTCAGCCTGCTCCCCGTCCCGCATGGTGCTCAGGATGGTCTCCCACACTGGCAGCTTGAATTTCTTGCCAATAATGAGCTCCATGGGCTTCCCGCGGGCACGGCTGTCGTCCAGCACGCGGTGCTCCCCGTGGGACAGCATGGTGCGGTAGTGGAAAGTGGCCTGGGTAGGAGATCAAACGTGGATGAGGTTGTTCCACACCCCACCCAGCACAACAGGGCCCCACGGGCCAATGACTGCTCGCCGAGACCCACTGGCCGTGACGGGGCAGGGAGGCTCGCGTTGGAAGGTGTGTGCACTAGCGCTGGGATTCTCAGCTGTCGCTGACAACCCCCAGTGACGGTGTGACGAAGTGGGGATTTTCCCTTGTTATGTTGTATGTGAGCCTATGTGAGTGTCATAACTATAAAGGGAAGGGTAACAGCCCTCCTGTGTACAATACTATAAAATCCCTCCTGGCCAGAGACACCAAAATCCTTTTACCTGTAAAGGGTTAAGAAGCTCGGGTAACCTGGCTGACACCTGACCCAAAGGACCAATAAGGGGACAAGATACTTTCAAATCTTGGTGGGGGAAAGGCTTTTGTTTGTGCTCTTTGTTTTGGGGGTTGTTCGCTCTTGGGACTAAGAGGGACCAGACATCAATCCAGGCTCTCCAAATCTTCCTGAACAAGTCTCTCATATTTCAAACTTGTAAGTAACAGCCAGGCAAGGAGTGTTAGGTTTGTCTTTGTTTTCTCAACTTGTAAATGTACCTTTTGCTAGAGGGTTGACCTCTGTTTGCTGTAACTTTGAACCTAAGGCTAGAGGGGGTTCCTCTGGGCTCTTTGAATCTGATTACCCTGTAAAGTTATTTTCCATCCTGATTTTACAGAGATGATTTTTACCTTTCTTTCTTTAATTAAAAGCCTTCTTTTTAAGAACCTGATTGATTTTTCCTTGTGTTAAGATCCAAGGGGACTGGATCTGGACTCACCAGGAATTGGTGGGGGAAAGGAGGGGGGATGGTTAAATTCTCCTTGTGTTAAGATCCAAGGGTTTGGATCGGTGTTCACCAGGAAATTGGTGAAGTCGTCTCTCAAGGCTACCCCGGGAAGGGAGTTAGTACTTGGGAGTGGTGGCAGCAAAACCAGATCTAAGCTGGTAGTTAAGCTTAGAGGTTCTCATGCAGGTCCCCACACCTGTACCCTAAAGTTCAGAGTGGGGAAGGAACCTTGACAGTGAGTCTTACCGTTTTGCATGAATGCTGTGTGTGCCTCAGTTTCCCGGTGTATTGCACCAATGTCTAGGTGGTGGGAATAAGGGGGTGTGACTTTTGAGGGGGCTGCTCCAGCTGCCTGAACCGATGCTATAGCCCCCCCTTCATAACCTGAGACCCAGGAGGGGGATGTAACCAGGTGACTCTTGGCCCGGGAAGCGAGACAAAGGCCAGAGGAGGAGCGAGGGGCAGGGCAGGGGCCAGGCAGGTGGAAGCGAGTCAGTCTCGGCTGGCTTGGGGTGCAGAGGGAGAGCGAGAGCCCTGGCTCTGGGCTCCCATCCCCCCAAGATGGACTTGGCTGAAAGTCACTGATTTCTGTGCTACGCTGTGTTCCTGTCACCTAATAAACCTTCTGTTTTACCGGCTGGCTGAGAGTCACGTCTGACTGCGGCGTTGGGGTGCAGGGCCCTCTGGCTTCCCCAGGAGTCCCGCCTGTGCAGACTTCTGCGGGAAGCGCACGGTACGGAAGGGGATGCTGAATGCTCCGAGGTCAGACCCAGGAAGGTGGAAGCCGTGGAAGCTTCTTGCCCTGGAGGCAGTCTGCTCAGAGAGAGGAGGCTCCCCCAGAGTCCTGACTGGCTTCATATGGAGTCATTCCAGAGCATCGCCCCGGTGACTCCATGACACGGGGCCATGCTCCTACTAGCCCATTAGATAGGAGATGGGCCCTGGCAGGAACAGGGTCACCCAGTGCACTCCTCTCCTGGGGGCTGCTGTGTGCCCAGCTTGGGGACGTGTGCTCCTGGCAGGCCCCTGCTACATACCACGTCCAGCCCTGCTCACCCTCTGGACTGGGGCGCACTGCTCGGCCCTGACCTCCCCGGCAGGACACGGGGGCATCAGCCTGAGCTCTGCCAGCCCTAACGGGCTCCCCTACCCTGGGCTACTCTGTCCCCACAGGGCCCAGGCACCGTGCCAGGCTTGCTGGGGGGCAGGCCCAGTGCCCAGCCCTGCCCATACTGGGTGGACAGGCCCATGCTGTCCCTAGGGCTCTGACTGCGGATCACCCTCCCAGAGCCAGGCCCCAGAGAATGTAAACAGGAAGCGACCCTACCAAAATATACCCCTCCCCCCGGGCCCCGCGCGTCACTGCCCCACCCCAACCATAGAAGGCGGGGCCCGTCACTGCTGGAGCTCGGGCCACGCCCCCCGGGATAGAGCGTCACTGCCCCAAGAGCCCCGCCCCTTGAGGAGGGGCGGTGGGCGGGCAGGCAAAAAAGCTTTCTGAGTGCCCCGCCCCACTAGCGCGGCTGGCCAATCAGCACGCAGGAGCGGTTGTATGTCACTGACAACAGCACCAATAGAAGCGCGGTGTTGGAAGGCGGGGCACGTCACCATAGTACCGGCTCATTGCCGCATGCGCAGTCACCACCGCAGCCCGTGTCAGCGCCGCCGGACTCTGCCAGGCGGGCGCCGCTAGGCCCCTCCTAACGGTCTGTTCCCGCCGCGCATGCGCGCCATAGCCCGGCCCCGCTCTGTCCCGAGGGGGTGGGGCAGCTGGTTACCTTGGTGCCGTCGCAGTAGTCGGGCATTGGACCCCGGCCCTCCTGCACCAGCCGCTTCGCGATCCCGTCGGCCCGCAGCTGCGCTGCCTGATCCGCCATGATGGCTCCCGCACAGCGGCTTCTACCTACGCCGCCGACTCGGACAGCTCCGGGGCTTTCCGGAAGGGCTCGGCTACTTCCGGAACCGCTCGGCCTTTCTCGGAACCGCTCGGCTACAGCTGGCGCGCGCGCTCGGTCATTTCCGGAATGGCTCTCCTGGCGCCTGGCGGCGGGAGGTCCGCGCTGCAGCGAATGGAAGAGCGGGGGGGAGGTGCTTAGCCTTGTTCACTCTGAATCCTACTGACCACGGGACTCTGCCTTGTGCCCCCGACCTGTGCTAGCCCTCCCCACCCATCTCACCCTACCAAGCCCAGTGTCTGGCTCCCCACCCCGCCATGGGTCTGTGGGGTTAGGAGTCCTAGCTGGGGCATTTTGCAAGATAGGCGCTTGCTACTACTGCTCCCAGCTAGAGGAGCTGGTAGTTGGGGAGCGAGGCCATGGGTTGGAGCCCTACCCAGGGAGAGGTTGTGCATAGTGGGAGGGGAGCTTGTGCCCAGGGCTTTGTACAGGATGGCAGAAGTCACTGCAGAACCACCTCTAAACTGTGACACACACCCACTGGGTGTCCATGGGCTCCCCAGCACTGAGGCGACTCTGCTGCTTTGCCCTATCTCTGCAAACCACAATTGGAGGATGTGACTGGGGTCTCAGGGGGGCCAGGCTGAGATTGCTCAATCAGGCCAAACTGCAAAGAATGGGGCAGATGAGCTCCAAAACTGGTGGTTATTCTAATAATTAGATTCACCAATCCAGCAACAAAACAGCTTCTACAATACCTTGCTGGTTACCCAGAAGCCAAAAACACAGTTCCCTTAAAGCAACCCAGCCTTGAGCACCCACCCAGACACCCAAGTCAAATATGATGAGGATTACTCAAAATCTTTTTCATCATAGAAAAAGTTCTACCAATCCCAAAGCATTGTACACATCACCCACCCGGTCAACAAATATTCCAGATCTTTCCCAAATACACGCGTACAGCCAATTCTTATTAACTAAACTAAGATTTATTAAAGAGAAGAGAGAGAGAACTGGTCAAAAACTTATTTTACATACAGGTATGAATAGAGTTCTTATGTCAGTTTCATAGTAGAGATGGTGAGCTTTAGAGTTGTAAAAAGTTCTTTCAGAATTAGTCCGTAGATTTCAGTCCCATGTCCAATATCAGGGCAATCCAGATAGGACTGGAGACTTCAGTCCTGTGACTCCAAATTCCACTGATGAAGCTTAAGCAGATCTGAGATAACAGGATCAGGGCCCTAAGCGTTCTTTTTATAGTTGTCTGGCAGCCTCCTGACAGCGTGCAGTCCTTGGGTGAAGAATAGTGTCTTTGAACTAACCTATTTCCTAGTATCGCCAATAATTAGCTACATGGATTAACAAGGGAACTGTCCATCTCCCACCATTTACAGGTAGCTTACTACATACTTCGAAGAGAAATGAAGGCAGTGATATTACTACATTCACAGTTCATCTAAATGTTAACATCTCCTTTTGATCTCTGAATTAACGGAATACAGTGATAGGCGCCATTTGGTTACATTGTCAGCCTCTAACAATATATATGTAAACACACAAAAACCACAATCATTATCTACTACTATGTCTCTAAAGGTTTGTCGGAGAATAACAGAGGTCTCACTCTTTTGGGTTGGGTACAGCAAAGTCAGATACTTTATTTTCTCTTGCAATTGCGTAGAGGGAGAGAGTGCACTAGGACACAGGGTCTCCCCCTCCTAGGCAGGTCTCTCCACAGGTCAACAATTACAGCAAGCATTTATACCTTTTGTTACAGACAATAATAAGCAACAGCTGCATTTTGTTTATACATAGGTCATCCTGATATCTTATTTTTCTCACTTATTTAGAGTCTAGTCTACATTCCATATTATCTACACAAGGTCGCAACAACGTCTCACACAGTTCTTTCCCACTCACCTCACACAATCCTCGCTTCTACAAATCTCGCGTTATTACGGTTACAGTTAGCCTGACTCTTGCTAACAAACTGTCATGCATTGGAATCCCCTTCCTGTCAGTTCTTTCTCTGCTGCCACAGGTTGAATCTGGGTCATTGAATCTGCTAGGTGTGTAACCCCTTTCTGGCCCTGTGTCACAGAGGACTTTTGAAATCTTAACAGGAAGTCGTGTGAGGGGCGGGGACCTCCTGTCAAGAAGCAGGACCTGCAGCAGAGCCAGTTTCTGGGCACCCTAACGAGCACAGCTGACAGGGACCAGGCTGCCTGAGTGGCTACATGCCTCACTGGTGGGAAGAGTCAGCCCATAACCCCAGCAGCAGCTGCAGTTTGGCTGTGGTAGCTCCTGCACCTGCATGTTCCCAGCTGTGCACTGCTCCCCCCCCCCCCCCCCCATTGCCTCACTCCAGGTAACCCAGCCCTGACTCTGCCCCTGAGCAACAATTCCTGGCAACCAACTCCTGCTCTGACCACCTGGCACAACTAACTGCCCACATCCCAGGCTCTGATGTGCCCTACTCAAATATGCTCCAGTTTGCCCCTCAGACCATTGTCACAATTTAGGGTGCAATCAAGACCAGGGTGCCTTGGATGCTCTGCTGCTGTGCCTCCGGGCCTGGACACCAACTGCCAGCAGACAATCACGCAGTCCTCGGAGCGTCCGTGTGCTATGCAGCTCTAGGTCAGCGCTCTGACCCCAGCAGCCTACCTACCACCCAACAGCCCCCCGCCCCGTCTCAGCCAGCCTTGGTCACTACTAGCGGGGTGACCACTCCCAGTTATGTTACTGCAGACATTTCACAATGACACTCATCGCTAGTGTGTCCCAGGCTGTCATGAAAGGCCTCACTCGTTCTGCTTTTCTAATACACTAATATTGTAGACAAGCCCTGGGGTCAATGGCCTATCGCTTGAAGCTCAGCCCCCTATGAGAGGCAATCGCCCCCATCGCCCCCCCGCGGCCCCCAGTTTGATGGCTTTGTTTCACTTTTGTGGAACCGTACCTTCATTGTCTCTACATGACGAGCAGGCTGGTGAGACAAACAAAAACACACTTGAAGAACATAATTCTAGCACGTGTCTATAACTTGGTACACATCCCGTACATACCTCACGCAAGGATGCTAATGATCAGTGTGGTATTTGCTTTCCACCAATCTCTCATGTGACACCTTTTAGATGCAGATTATGCCAGCAGTGTGTTAGGTGCAGTCAGTATGTCAGGTCTGACAAAAGCTGCCGACACTCATGAACCACTAGGGTGACCAGACAGGAAGTGTGAAAAATCGGGACAGGGGATGGGGGGTAATAGAAGCTATATAAGAAAAAGACCCCAAAATCGGGACTGTCCCTATACAATCAGGAGATCTGGTCAACCTATGAACCACCGGGGGTCCCATGAGTCACACCCACTCCCATACTCTGAAGTGCCCTGCTAAGCAGATGTGGTATTGTTATTAAGCAATAATCTGTTCCCACCAGGAGGGTAGAAATTGTTTCTTTTGTTTTTCAGACACTCTACAAGCAAGCTGGTGCCAGCAAAAAAATAACCCCACATACCATGGATCTACGTTTGGAGTTGTTTGACTGTGGTGTTTGTCTTGTTGCTAGCATTGTTGTGTTTCAATAAACAGAAAACCTCATGACGTGGGTGGGGGATGGCTTCAAAAGACTGACCTGGGGAGATGTGTATGAAATGCAAAATGCTCAGCGAGGAGGCCAGGACCTGTGTAATAGCAACTGTGGTACCTGGAAATGGAACGCTAACTAAGGTGGTCCCCACAAGCCCTATGGGAATAATGAGAAGGGGAGGAGCTCACTGGGAATCAATGGAGGGGTGTGTAAAATGGTGTAAATCCAGAGACAGTGTTTGAATGTGCCCCCCGTGATGGCCAGGGAGGAGCACATCCAATGGCAAGGGGTGGACAATTGGGTGTACTGTGTATGAGGTGTTTTGCTGGGAATGTACATATTACTAAAAGCACAACAACACCAGCCCGTAACCAAACGACACACAGCTACACGCGGCTGTCCAACTTGGATGCACAAATAAATCTGTAAATCTTATTGCTGTAAATAATCAAACCAGGGCTTCTGGCCTGGTTCCATCCCAAGGGGTTAAGTTGGTTTAAACAATAACCCATTTCTCTGTGGACATTCAATAAACTTATCATATAAACAAAAGCACGCAAAACCTGCAGGGCAGCTTGTTGCAACTGCCAGCAACTGAACACATTAAAATCTTAACCCCGTGAAAGGAGGAGAGGCCGTGTTTTGGTGGTGGCTCGGCTGTTAAACCATACTGCAGTGGGCAGAACTCTCGCTGTTGCTGTCAATTAGCATAGCGGCTGGTGTATTGTTAAGTATATTTGTGTTATGTCACATATAAAAACAATCGGGGGGGGGCACAATCCCCTAGAGAACAGCCACTAATTATAACCTATAAGTAATGTAGTAAGCCCCTCCC